CCTCGCCCGCACTCCCACGGCGCGAGTCAAGGGGATTTGCTTGTTTGCTTGTTTGTGCTTTGGGGGCGAAGCTGTCTAGTAAATCCGGCTCTTCGGCGCTACTGTCAGCCTTGCAGGACAACCCTTTCAGCATGTTTCGTTCTCATTTTTAATTTCCCAGACCCTGAAAAGCACTTTTTATTTTTTTCCCCCCGTCTCTCTCCCTGCTCCGGCAGAAGCTAAGGCGCAGCTCCTCGCTGCCTGCCTCGTCGCGCTCGTTCGGTTACCAGCTTTAAGCACAGGCTCTCGAAAACGGCTGCTCCGGGGCAGAGACCCGCAGAAACCTCCCAGGAAAACGGGGGTCCCGCCGAGCAGGAGCGCTGCTTCTTCGTGCCGGCTGACCCGGGGCTCCGAGCCGCGAGCCACGCTCCTTTTCCAGCACGATTCCCGCAGCTAAGAGAGCGGACGCCCTTAGCATTAATATCATTATCCCAGCATTTGCATCTACTCCCTCCGCCGAGCTCACTTCCCCTAATCCTCGACCTCATGCGCGGAGGGCGATAATAATAATAATAATAATTATTATTATTATTCAGCTGCCTGGTGGAATTTATTTTAGACCTTAAATGCATTCAAAGAACTGATATTTTTACAAGCTGTAAAACTTTCTCTCTGTACTTATGGCTATAGATGGTCATGTAGATATAGATATTGCCCAAGCTACAGTGTGAAAAATGGATTATATAAGAGATAATGCTTATTCTCAGAGTTATTGGATCTGAGGTGGGGATGGGCTGATGTCTTGGAGGAAAGATGCATATTCTTTAATATCGTAGGTTTTCCTGCTTCGGGCGTTAAATCATTTTTTATTATTACTATTATGGTTGGTTAATTTTAGATCAATACAGCTGCTCCTGTGCGAACAACCGCGCTCTTTGCCGGGACAGGGCGAGCAGCACCGCATGGCCCCGGCTCCAATTCCTGCTTTATTCTTATTAGTTTTCTCCCTCCTCCGCCGCACATAGTTGCACTGCATGCAGGGCTCTCTCCTCCGGATTCATCCTGGTTTTTACACTCTGTGCTCTCGGAACAAGCCCCCTTTCCAGGGCTGTTCGTACATTGGCGTGTGCGGCTCCAATCCCCAGCTCCCTCCTAGGAAAAGTCCAGGTGAGCGCGATCCCATTTCACCCCGGCAACATCTCAATGTCACCTACAGCGCGGAGGTGGCTTTAGTGGAGCAAAACGCGAGGCGTTTCTAAACCCATTAGGTCTCTCCCGATGCAAATCCGGCGGTGCAAGGAGAGAGGCTCTATTAAGACCCGAGGGCTGACAATTAGATTATAGTGCAATTGGCAGCGGATAATGTGCTAAAAGCTTTCCCGCTCGCTGTTACTCCTCGCTGGAAATTATTCACACTTTGCAGGCTACTGCACTCCTGAGCGGGAGACGTCTCTGGCTGCAGCTAGAGCTGACCCCCAGCACACACACACACACACATATATATATACACACACATACATACACGCACATATGCACAGATACAACACGGCACAGCGCTAAACACGCCTATCCCGATCGCAAGCAACGAAAGCAGAGCTGGATCTGGCGAAAACTTCTGCGCACACGCGCTACCAAACGTGTGTTTAAATCCACCTCTACGTGTGTTATACCATTTATTTAAGCGGGTTAAAATTGCATATGCGCAGCCAGGCACTCACTCAGAGGCGGCCACGGTTTTGATGCCCCTCGCGCGTCGCTCCCCTGCCCCAGCGCTTCCTACACCGGCGCGCGGTTTTATTTAATCCGAGCGACGGCATTTCTGCAAGCAGCAGAAAATAACCCCGCTTTTGTCCCTACGGGGAACAACCCGTTTTGAAACGGCCACTTAAACTCGATCAAACATGTAGCAGAAGGCTATGCTTGCAGGGCTGCCCATGCTGTCGGTATGTGCTGGTGTGAGGCGCTACCAAACGGCGCGAGGCTGCGGACGCGAAAATTTACCGAAAAACAAAAATTAAAAAATAAAAAAGCAGGCTCTCCTCAGGCTTTAAGATTGGCGATGCAGAACGCTGTAAAACACCTATGTCGCGTATTTTTCCGGCCTCAGTTTATCCCCATACTACCAATACCGGCAGGTCGTTACCCAAGGAAATGACCTCTCCGTTTCGCAGACGACAAGTTGCAATAAGCTGGTAATAAATATGGGAATAAATGGTTTCCTGAGGACAGGAGGGCAGCTTCTCAAAAATAAACAAGTGAATAAAATAACTCACGGCTCCGTGAGCGCCCGCATAGCCGGGTGCGCATCAGCCAGGCTATGGATATGGACCACAACATGCCTGAGCGAAACGAGACTGCAAACACGCCGCAGACAAGGCTGGAGCGTCAGACGAAATTAAAAGTGAAATAAATAAATAAAGTTAAAAAATAACACTGCGCTTTCCCCTCTCTCTGCCTTTTGGAGAGGGCAACGCGCCTCGGCGGGAAGGG